ATTCAGGCAATGTGTTGAAGATTGGTTTGTCAACCTCGCTCTATTGTATTTTGCTATTACCAATCATAAAACATGATAGTGACTTTATAGGTCTTAGATCCATTCATCTTTTACCTATAAGTGACTAATAGCCTAGTGAAAAAAAATACTCTAATCTTGTGTGTATCAACAGGAGGATAATTCATAGGAGGATATGTATGTGTTACAATAGAATTCTCGTTAGTTAATATTAGACGGTTTTGAATAACAATCGACTTTTACTCATAGCCTAATAAAGAAAATGTTATGGAAAATATAATTATTACGAAATAAAAGTAAACAAAAATCTAAGTGGAAAATCTTATTAAGAATCATGTGGAAAATTAATAATATACTATTCTCAAAAAAAGGATTAGTAAAAAAAACCCTATACGGTATTCATTTTATAAAAGCAAGTACAATCAATTAATTGGTTTCATACAAAAACACCTGCAGTTTCTAAATATTGTTATACGTCATCCTTTAATACACGACTTATTGGGAAACACCGATACACAATTACAATGGGAATTCACTGACTATTAATTAAATTCAAAGCTTATTTAGCTATCAAATAAGCAATTAAATTCCTTCTTTTACGTCAGCCAGGCCCACCAACTTGTAAACATTGTTGTTTTCCCTATACATTATTGCAATGCATATTAGCTACTAACCTGTTTGGGGGCGAGGCATCCTATTATCTCTGAAGGAAATCCTAAAATTATACCCCATTATTGAGTCAGAAACTTATTACTACTTTAGGTGTCTAACGACCTGGAAAGACCTTGAAATGCAGGTATCCAGACCAACCGGTATTTAATGGCAGTTCCCATTCAAAATTAAAAGCACAGCACATTCGCTTCTGAAGACGCAACGACAGTGCATACCGGTGGTGAGTAGTTTACATATACAGGGTGTCCCGTAACTGTCTGGACTCATGTATATAGCGTTATTGCTTAAGTCAAGACAAACACATTTCACCATAGGAACATGGGCCTGTGGTGCCTAGTTTCCGTCTGTCTGTATTTATGTGTAACAAATACAGATATTGGTTAATATTAATGTGTAATTAATATTTTACAAAAATATTAATAATTTCTAAAATGTTTGAGATACAGCATTGTCATTTTGCAAAAACTTTTATCTTATTAAGGCCTGTCTTTGTTCAAAATAATACTAAAAATCATTAACTGTTTTAAAATGGCAGCCATTTAAAATATTTGATACACAATTTCACGAAAACCGTTAACGTAACAAAAACATTGCAGGAGACAAAACAGTTTGTAAATGTTATGTTGTTTTCAATGATACCTTATTTTATAAGAATGGATAAATAATAACAGAGAAATGTCTTCATTTCCAAATGAATGACCACTTTTCTCCATTTAAACAATGCTAATACTCCTTCAAGTTCAAAAGTTGTTTGGAGAAAATTCAATTCACAAATTCAATCGCTTAAATTAAAGCTGATGAAAATGAAATGAAATGAAATGAAATGAAAATGATTTATTTAGTCAGGCAAAGTTAGGGCCACATGGCCCTCTCTTACACTTAACCTGTTTATACAAATCTAAACATACAAATAAAACAAAACAATGTACAATACAAATAAAATACTATAATCTATTTACAATATTTAATGTAAAAAGAAACAATACACTTTTAAAACATACCACCTTACATAAACACCCACACACACACACACACACACACCTACTCACGTACACGCACACACACAACACACACTCGCAAGAACTAGCACACACACACGCACACCTGTCAGTGATCAACCAAGCGCACGCCTAGGATATACCAACCATGGCCATACGTCCAGAAAACAGATTTTTTAGTGCTGTCACAAACCGGGGACGGCTATCAAGGGTTTTTATGGCTAGAGGGAGATCATTCCAAAGGCGACAAGCAGAAACAACAAACGCTCTGTCATAAACTGCCGTTCTATGATGAGGCATACGCAAAGTTACTGAAGCAGAACGTGAGTTTCTTACACTTTCTTCAGCTGATATGTAACTGGAGGTTCTTAGACCAAAACACATTGTCTAATGTAATTAGAACGGGTGAAATACATCAAATGAACAATTAAAGAAAGAATTCGAAAAAATCCAATTTATGTTTTTTTGGTTGAGTAATACAGTAGATATATGAATGATGGAAAATTTGTGCGAGCATACTTTTAATTTGAGTAAAAAATACTGGCCGCGTAGAAAACCCAAATTAAACTCCTATAAGAAATATACAGGGAGAAGGTTGCTTTTGTGCATAGCTCGAAATACGTCGGATAAATGCATGCCGATGCTTTGAAGGCAAGTTTGTGCGTACCTTTAGTTTTAGACCGAAGTAATGAACATTAGTCAGGTAGAAGAACAGAACCGACTCGGAAAAGAAAAGCCAATAGTTTTCAATATATAGACACTGAAACTCATAGATAACTATGCAAATATTAATTTTACCTGATTGACAATTAAGTAAAGAAAACAGAGATACACAATTTGAACTTGTTGTATGGTTGAAGAGTGTCTTACGGTACTTGTGATTTGAGCTCTTGTTATTTTACATTCGTTTAGATTTTACTAAAAAGGCGGGCTAAACTAATTACTTTATGCCTAGAGATAAATCGGTCACTCCAAATATTGGAACTTGTATGTGTTTACGGAGACAGCAGCTAGCCTATTAGTTATGCACAATAAGCGAATAAGATACAGTCTACATGCCTGGACCCAGAGTCCGCTCCTTTCTATCAATCGATTCCCTTGACACCACACACCTCGTGACATAGTAAATTCCACCACGTATAAGGAAACTAGAGAAAGGGAATAAGGAAAATAAGAGTGTTTGTTTTTTTAATGAAGCAACCGTGCGCCTGAACAGTTCGGACGAAAATGAAACTGACGAAACCGGTTTCCAACGCGCTGTCCACACCGGCCTAATACTACGCTAACGTTATCATTTAGGTCAATAAAATACAACTGTTTAAATGGATCCATTGAAATGGAATCGGAATCGACAAGGTGAACCGGCGAATCAAGGCGGACTAGAGATACAATAGTAGGTCGACTTGGTTGTAAAGTGATACTCTTTAAGGTTGAGAAACCTTAGTTTAAACACTTAAATGATTGCTTCTTGACACTGTACTGCTAGTTTTATGACCGTTAGTCTTGCTTTGGTTCTTCCTGAACAGTTTGATTGAATGATTAAGTTCATGACTTGGAATGTGGGGATTTATACAGTATTGGAAATGCTTATGTCAAAAATGCAAGTAAAATATAGCAAGTTACATAAGCTTTTTATTGTATGAATTCGAGTCCTTCCGATGAGAGGTTCTATTTGATGATTCCATTATCCATAGAACCATTGACATAGGCTGTCCTAACCAAAAATACGTAAAAAACCTTTAAGGTTGGTTACAGTGTTTATTTAGTTAGTAGCAATTTATGTTTAGCCTATATTTCTCTCGAGCAAAATTCATACACGAATGAAGAGCACCGATAAGAAATATTTAGTGTTTATTAGGTCAAGTAAATCTACATAACTATATGTTTTTGTGTATCCTAAAAATGTTTTACCGTACCTAGGGCCGAAAATGACGTTTTGCCGGCTTGAGATCATTTTTTAAACAATCGAGAGCTGCAAAAGCCTTCCATCTCGTGGCATGAACGCAATCTTTCACCACATTTATACAAAATTGAGAAAATATATACAATGAATGCTCACAACTAAGACGTTAAAAGTTGTATGTGACGAATGTGTGAAAAACAGCAAAAATAATAAACAGTTGCTAGGCAGCGTTGACAATACAACAAATCTATAATAGCAATGTATTCAATAATTGTAATGCATAATATGGATACTGCTTTACATTAATGTTTTAAGTAAATAAGTGAACAGCTGATTTTCGGTCCTAGTGATGTAAAAACCTGCTCGGTCCCCAAATTACAGTGAGAGGACTGAAATACGTAGCTTTCAGCCTCCAATTAAAGTGTAAAGCGGCTAAAAACATCATAATGTGTTAAACAAATTTTGATTTTAACGGTGCGAATTAATTTTTCGAACCTGTATCACACTGACTGTAGTAAAACAGTTATCGACGCATTTTCCGTGTACATGGCTAAATAAAGATAAGTGTTTCAATGTCGTTAAGTTTTATTAGAGTTTAGTTATGATTTTTACCTACAACCGGTTTTTTTTAAGTAGCCTTTTTCAGTTCAGTTCTTAGAATCGAAAGGTTTCCCATAACAGCATTGTTTACTTTCATAACAGCATAGTTTTACTCATAACAACACGAGTAACGGACCGATGATGTTCAAGGATTTGAGAGAGAAGAAGTAAAACTGTAATGATTCGAACTTCAACTAATCAGCTGTTTAGGCCAATTTAATTAGTGTTTGGTACAATGCTTCGTTGCATCACTGTCAGTGGCAATGAGAGGTTTATATACGAAAACATAACCTCTCTTAGAAGTTATGAGAAGTGGTTTTTAGTAATTACTGTCGTAGGTAAAGTACACAACTCACGTAATTAGTGTTAACGCAATCGTTGCGTAAACTACTATTAAAATGTATGTTAATGTCTTAAAAATTCGAATAACTAAGAATATTTGTAAAAGCGTAAAGCATTATTTTTGTTATTTGATTAAATGACCGCCAATAATAGAACGCCATACCTAAATAATTATTTTTTCAGATTAAAAAAGAATTAACCGTTATGAGAAACTTTAAGAAATATATTGAATTATGCACCTATTCATTACACATTGGTCATTCAATTTTGAGGTAGAAAGTGTCAAAGTGCTAATCAGCTGATCACCTTTACTAGTGGTGACCTAATGCTCCAGTGCCCTTGGCCGAAACAGGATTACATGCCGGACCACATAACAGATCAACGTCCTAGGCTAGCTGGATCAACTAATCCCTACTTGCCTTACTTAGTATCGATACGAACGCCTTGGTGAGAGTGTGTCCGCGGACAGTATATCCAAATTCGCGCGTGTGTGTACCCTCAAGACGTTTAAAAGGTTATTTTGTCCCTCAAAACTTAGGTTATTTTGTGCGTTACTTACAGTACAGGTAGTATTACTTAGGTATGAAGTGGCATAAAATAAGTTTTAGTTGAAATTATTACATATTTTTAGTAAAAAGAAAACAAAGATTATACCGTATGATATTTTCATGTATAAACTTTTATTGATTCATACATTTTTAAATTCATTCAAATAAACTAAGTGGTTCAAACATAGGCCTAACTGTAGCCTGGATTTTAGATAGTCATGGGCTTTGTTTATTATTTTACCAATTTAACATTTTAGCGTTTATATGTTTTCTTTTCTGATTATTTTAGCTCATTTTTTATATTTTGTTGACTAAAATAATACTAATTTTTCAATAACGCAATTTTGTATGAGGTTTTATCATGGGTATAATTGCAACCTAGATGTTTGTAAATAATTACGTAGATTGTTTAATTAATTACTTCACAATAAAAGCCATGAGCATTATTTATTCACAAGCGAGTTAACTTAGGGGAATTAACTACTTTTTAAATTTCAAAAATGTAGGTTTACGCTAAAACATAGTCTTATCATGACTGAAATTTAAATATTAATTCCCAAACCTATCAAAGTACTTATGTTTATTGTTCCAAATTGTTTGATCTATACCTATAATCGTAAAATGTTTGAGATTATAAGTTTCTTAGTTTGCTCTTCTATCAATAACCAAGATAACTACTTTGTTAAACACACAGTTTCCCACATACCAATTATTGGTATTGAGGAAAGTGGGAAAGCATCAACCGTAAATTATGAAGAACTATCTTAAAATTAACGGGTAAAATACACCCAATTTATTTATTTTCTTATTATAGGGTGTCCTAGACCACCCGGCCGGCTTATATAGGTCCAATATGAAAGCAAATAGAAACCTAATTGCAACTGGAACCATCTATTTTGACCCCAAGGAATTCATTAAAAATAAATTATTTCAAAAAATTATTTTCAAACCCAAAAAAGCACCTCATAGGGCAGATTTTGGGGGGTGGGGGTTGGTTTTGGAAAATTTTTAAAAGTAAAGGGGGTCGTGTTATACCTCATTTTAAAGCTCTTTGAGTCCTGAGTATTTTAGTGGAAAAACTTTAAAATTATTTTCATTCCTATTATTATTTTCATTATTATTTTCAAATTATTTTCATTCCGGCTATAGAAGCCGGCCGGGTGGTCTGGGCCACTCTGTATATATACCTAGAAATAATGCTGTTTAGTATTAGTTATTTTTCATACAATAGGGTAATTTTAAAGTTTAATGAGTGCAATGCTTTACAATCTATTATCATAAATTGAAACTCAATAATAATACTGTTCGTTTAATAATTACTCTTATATGTTGCCTAATACTTACTACTTTATTTTTTAATGCATCAATTTACCAAACCAAAATATTGTTTTCAGAAATGACTGTTATTTACGGATTCTTCGCTCAGCAATTGTTGGCAGTGGTTGCAATTTTCTTCTTGACTCTGATATGTCGGTTTTACTGGAGTCACAGAAAGATTTTGAGGGTTGCTAGAAGTTTGCATCCGATTCTACCATCATATCCGCTATTGGGACATGGATATTTACTTTTTTCTGGCCTCGATGGTGAGTACCAAACTCTGCATACAAAGTTTTCGGAAGGTCTAGGTTTTACCATTTAGACTGCATACAGGGTTACCTGTAAGTTAACAACTTAACTCCGGGAATTGGTGCCATAATTATTATATATCTTGTTTCAAAGAGAAAATTAAGGCTAATTATTTCCAAAATCACTTCGTTAACCGAATATTGCATTTTGTGTTTCTCACATGAACATGTTTATCCTTTAGATTTATAAAACCAATATTTACGAGATATCTATGTTTGAAAAAGTTAACTTTGTACAATTCAACATTTTAAAAATGGTGGTCATTTTAATCTTTATAGTGTACACAAGCTTAAAAAAAATGGCACGGTTATAAAAAAATTTCAAAGGAACTGGTATTTAGCATTAAAAATTCCCTATTACACGATACAAGTACAAAAAGAAATTACAAATAGCTTAAATATTACGGTGTTTAGTTGTAAAAAAACATAATTAGGTTGCAGCCTGGCTAGCTTCTATATGCAAATTAAAAGTTTCTTTGAAATTTTCCTTGTAAAATTAGCAATTTTTTACAAATTTTAATATTAAAAATTCAAATAGCCGACCGCTTAACATTTCGAATTGGACCAAGCTAATTTTTTTTTCATAACATAGGTATCTTCTACCCTAACATACGTACAATGTTTTATAAAGATCGCCTTACGTGAAAAATACAAAATGGTGGATATCTGATTAGCAAAGTGATTGCGGAAATAATTTTAATCTCGGCCGTCTTTTTATTTCGACCCGTAGAAGTATTTCCCGGAGTTTGACTGTTTGCTTGCGGGACACCCTTTTTACATTTCCATCAATCTTAAAATTTAATGCCTGTATTTTATGTGTGTTTTGCCAGCAGCCAGTTTAAGTTTGCTGGTGTTTTTGTTTCAGCTATGATTAATGCTGGAGTTAACGTTATAAAAGACACACTAAAAGAAGGTGTTCATAACAAGGGAGTGTTCTGGGCCGGACCTTATCCGGTGTTCATGGTTTCACATCCGGAAGATGCTCACGTATGTATTGCTACGTTGTACTTTCATAAAGTTTAGAACTAAAACTCTGGTTTTATAAGAGTTGTCCGTAAATTAAGGTTACAAACGCGTTCTTGTCACAAAGTAGTAATCAAGTGGTGTCCTCCTGATTGCGAACAGTCCTGATTGCGAACAGTCCAGACTGCGAACATGTTTGGGTCTACGAGGTGGAGGGGGTCGTCCGTGGGGTGGGGAGGATTCCTGATTGCGAACACATTTTGAGTGGTTGGGGTTTTCAACCCTTTCATATAACCCTTTCATAAACCCTTAACAGAATGATTTAGCCTAAATCACAACTTAAGACTGGTAATATACATAATGGAAAGGATGAATGTTCTTGAAGACACATATCTTTATGAGACGTAGTATAATTAGGTGGTAAAGCCCCTTATTAACAGACAGATTCTTCCAGACTCACAAATTCGTTCTGATAATAGGTATTTAAATTGGCTGTTTATTTAAAATTAATTATAATATGTTTGACTTGAACAAGCAACTACTAAACAATCTCAGAGTAAAGGAAATAAAACAATCATTTCATATGAACTAGGGTACCTGTTGCTCGAAATCGAGCAACTGTCAAGTGCAGGTATTATAGGTACAGAAGTTATTTTAAAACTACAGTAATAACAGTAATAATTTTCGATGAGTTTAAAAGACCCGACTAAATGCTTATGTGACTAATTGTAATACCCACGCTATTAAATAGCTCTTTGATATAATAAAGGCTTCTTGTATTTTAGAATTTTTTGGACCCGGCCTTATTTTTTAGTGTTTTCTACAAATGTTTCCCGACTTAAAGCTTTTAACCAGTAAACATTTCTTGCATGTATTTATTTGTTCGGACTTTAGGTAGGTTTACTTTATCACTGTGACAACATCTGTTGTATATTCTTCATGTTTTTAAGTTGCTTAGCATAACTGACAAAAATGATTCATCTCCCCAAGTGAGTGTGTACCTGGATTCCTTACTGTGAGACCAGGCCTCTCCTCTACTCTTCTTATTCGTATAAGATTTCCTATTAATTGTCTCCTCCTCCTGTTTTCAACATTTCTCCTTTAAACTCAAGAAATTGTCTGTTCTTCCAACAAAACTGATTGACTGTTTAGATTTGTCTATTACCTCATAAATATTACAAACATCAATATTTACTCCCAAAAAGCTGGTGAGTTTCTTTTTATATACAGTTGTTTTTGTTTTTAAATTTGCTTTCAATGTAATTCTTATGGGGAAGATGCGACCTTTGATAGCGTCTCGTGCCCTTAAGGGTAAGAGTTTTTTAAGTTCTAAAACGTTTATGAAATACTACAAATTGAGACGAATTATTTGACACCTCAAACGTTAAAATCGGTCCAGAAATAACGGAGGAGTTTTGTTCACAAAAATAGCCTCACATATTAATATAAGAGAAACTGACTATAATTAGCCGAAATATCATGCATTTGCCAATATCACATTCCAAACTCAATCATTACCTAAAAAAACATCGTCAACGAGCAATTTAAATAGCAACTAAAATAAATACCATACTTACATACATCTTACATCCGAAATAACATGTATATGCATTACACATTACAACATAAATCATTCAATCACATTCCCAACTCAACAAGCAATTAAATCTCACGTTCAACAACAGCTACTAAACCATCTTTACAGATTCAAAAATATTTGTTCGCAGTCTGGACGACTCATGTTCAGGTAGTCCACAGCATTTTTGAGGTGTTCGCAGTCTGGACGATTTTACCCTTGTTCGCAATCTGGACTGTTCGCAATCAGGACACAACCAATCAAGTAATCTAAGACTTGTGCAATGTTTATTACTTCACCTAGTACAACCAGGTCCTCATCTCTATGAAATGTTTAGTTTTATCGAAAGATCCGTTAAAGTTATCAGGTAAAACTGTTGCTACAGCCATGCATTTTTTCCTTATGGTTTTAAGGATAATCCCCAATTAAAATCCTTTCAAGATATCAGATGTCTTTACAGGAGTGTTCATGGGATTTTCGTCCTAGTACGTTAGGCACTAGCCTGAGATCGATTTACACATTACTTCTGGATGGACCAAGAAGTTGTGGTGTTGTCACTAGGATTAAACCCATTGCAGATTTGGTACCACATCACGAATGGATCTAGGGGAACATGGGAATAAACAATTTGCATACATAGTTCAGGGAATTCAGAGAAGGTCGTAGTCATATGTATACGAGGGGTTGCGGAAACTCTTTTCCGGACTTGTCGGTGGAAAAAGGTAAGTTTTTTGCAGGTCAACGTATAATTGTGCAATATATTTCCAATTACAATTTATCCTGTATTTAAGAATACACAATACAACGTCAGGTTCTTGGTATTCTTGAATTCACCCTTTTTAATGAGCAATATAATTAGGTAATCATAGTGACTTTTCTGGATGAAACTGCATGGCTGTTAAAAGAAAGGAACATTCAGAAGAATGTGCTCAGTGTTCTGTGAAGTTAGTGTTTTTCTCTACTATTGAATACTGCTGAAAATTTTGGAGTTCTTTGATTGGATTGTTTTGATGTATACTACCTTGACGATATACTTTTCTAATTTAGAGGTAACGATCTATTGTACGTGTTCCAGATTATTCTCAACAATTCTAAATCATTCGAAGGAGGTATAGAAAAATTGCTTCGAAATTTCTTAGGAAATGGACTAATAACCGCACCTGGTAAGTGTCTTGTCGGATGTTTCAAGAGAACGGCTTACAGAATATCTGGTTTGTTTAGAGATCATTTTATTGTTTTCATTTAAGAGATACAAGCTCAAAAATTGAGAAAGCACTTCATAAATCAAAGAAAATTCACGATTTTAACTGACAGATCAAAAGCTGTACGCTCGATAAAAATAATATGTATCAAAAACAATCAAATTAGTACGCTTGTATTGTTTATATAACTGATGTTAGGAAGTCAATTACATATACTAGAGGAGGTGTGGTCTGTCCAAACAGTTTCTAAAAACTTGTTTACATCTATATCTTTGACAATACGTAAAGGTTCTTTTAAGAACTAGTTTTGAAACAAGCGATATTTTAGATTACGTTTTACTGTAACATGTTTTAAAAACGTGTATTTTCTCTGATAAACTCGTAGTTTGTTTTATTTAGGTTATATTTTAAATATTTTATTGAAAAAGTAAGGGTCAGCCTATAAGACACAGTCATTCATCAGATCAATGTGTTGTTGTTTAAAAATATTATCATATTGTCTATCCAGTGTATTACTTGTGAACAATAAAAACCTTGCACTGTTCATAGTAATTTTCTTTTTCTTAAACTATATCAAATTAATCAGGCCTATGTACCATTTCTGTATCCAATATCTTTACACTAGCTGTAGGTTTTATGATTCAAGTAAAAACAACAATGTATGCCAATTATCTGATCAATCATCAATGTACACGTGCTGTTATTAACTTAATGAGAACACAACTTACGTCAAACAACGACTTTTTTCTCATCAATTTACCAAATGAATAATATATGATGTTTTTCAGCACTCTATTCATTTATCTTGACGCAAGTTTTAATCAGAGATCATTTAACGCGTCACATTGTATCTTTATTGTATTCATTAGCCTCAGGTGTTTCCAAGTTTATTGTTTCAAAGTACATGTTTAAAGGCAATCGAAATTAATTGAGGTAGTACCTAGTTTATACTCCTAAATTGGGGCCACACCCAGGTTGCTCAAGGGTATTTCGTCATTTTTCGGAGAAGACTGTCTGTATTACACATATGCAAACACAACACGTTCACGGAAATATTCAAACGACCTATTTTCAAAGGACACAAAATTGGGGACAGTATCCTCAATTAGTAATCCCCGATTAATAATAAATCAAGGCTCAATAGAGAGTAGGCTGTCTAAAGTTTTTTTACATGTTATATTTCCTTATATTCTTTCCTACTAGATAGTTGCTGCTAAAAAGGAGCGATAGCTTGATAAGTGCTGGTTGAGAAATTGTTGTAGGCGTGTAATAGAGGCCAAATTTTTGACACTATTTTAATAGGCTTGGTGTTTTCAAATGTAAAACAACCTACAAACCTACTTAACTAGTTGGACACAACCATGTACTCACTATTTGCAATGGAGTGCGAGTTGGTCCAGTAGTAGAGCGCGGGACTTCGATCTCTGAGATTCATGGTTCAAATCCCCCTAATCACCAATTTAGCTACATGCTAATGCTACAACCCTCTACGACTAGCCTCAACTTTAGTATTGGGTCAAACGATTCCGGTCAGGAGGCTGGTGGCGCTGAGGTGCGAGGTCATAACAAAACTATTTTGTGTGTTTCAATAATTAATTGTTCATAGTATTTGTAGCGTAATATGTTTAGATATCTTAGCCAGATTTAAATTAACTATTACCCCTTTGTATTCTTACAGCCAAGCTATGGAAGACGACCAGACGGCATGTGAACGTAATGTTCCACCCTCGAAATATAGATCGAATGTTGCCGGTACTGAACGACATTGGAAGAGAAATCGCCTCCAAGCTGACTCACCACGTTAGTGCTGGACAAGTCGATGTTGAGCCTCTAGTCTACCCTTTTGCACTAAAAAGCACCTGCAGTCAGTATTCGATACTTTATACTCATATAAGTTAATATTTGCCTTACAAAATATTTGAAACATTTATAGTAATCTGAAAGCCAAGAATTTTAGTAACAATATCTTTGACAAAACATGATTGACAATAGAACCTCAATAAGAATACTCTCAAGGGGACTAATAACCTTGTTATCAAGGTTTACTTTTTATCGAGGTTTGCAATATATGTGATTAGTATTCATCTAATTTCAAGGAATTTGAAAATTACACTTGTTATCAAGGCTGTTATTGAGGGTCTTGTTATCGAGGTACCACAATTAATTATTTTTATCATGTTTCCTTACTTTTTTAATTATTTTTTTACAAGTAGTTTACACTTTTTTAATACTATTGGCTAATATGTATTTTACAGTTTTTTTTTGCGCTGATGGTAATTATATTTTCTACTTTATTTTAAAACTGACCATATCAACACATTTGACTATATTGTAGACATTAAGACATTCCATCCCCATGTTAAAGTTCTTGACAGTTTTTTATTCAAATTTTTTGTAGTTGGTGTGAGCCACCGACAGATTTCCCTGATAAAAATTATAAATTTCAGTCGGAAACACGATATTTTTAACAAGTCAAACTGCTAGAACAACAGATTATGAGCTATAGCAACTGTTATGACCCATGAACTATGTCAGAAAAAAAAATTAACGTAGACAATAGAATTGAAGACACTAGCGCATTCTGGAAAACAATTTGGAACAGCTGGTCCTTATAGACGGAATGTCTGTATGTCTGTATCCAATAGTTAATCTTAACACTGAACTATATTGTTTAAAATGACAAATCGTGAATATAAAATAATTTATAAATGTATTCACGGGAGGCCTTAAATATATGCCTATTACTTAAAAACGTGCCATTATTAAATAAAAACTACTGTATCTTGTTTTTGCGGTTTTATAAAGTTTAAATTCCTTTCACAGTCAATAAAGACCATATATTTAAAACAAAAGCAAACTTATTTAACATTTATCGCAGGTTTCAGTGAATGAAATAAATTAGTTTTTAGGTTTTGTTACCAGTGAATTTGTCTTTGTTGCAGAACTGATTTTTGGACCTGAAGCTGAAATCAATGTTGAGACCGATAAATTCAAGAATGTCATGAACGCCATCACAGAGTAATTTTACCATTATAAATCGATAGCTGTTATTTAGTTATAAACCCAGCTTATCATTGGGCATTACTCTAGTTCAAATTTGTTCCAATTTCCAAAGTTTTACAATATTTTAAATTAAGATCTTTATTCTTCTAACTATGAACTTGTCGAGGTTATCAAAGGTGATAAGATTGTATTCTTTTTTTGGCAGCTTAAATGAATTTTTTATATACCTTTATATTCATGTTGGAACTATTATTTCCTAAATTCAAAGTATTTTAATAGGTTTTACAGAAAAAGTTTTATTTAAATATAAAATAATGTGATATTTAGTTTATAAATGAAATTGCTACTTTTATACCTCCACTGTCTATTCCCCCCTGTTTATTAAGTAAAGTGAAATAATCCCCCGTCCCAATGTGAAAAGTTATGTTATTTAACTAATTAGTTAATTAGTGCTGTATTAATACTTTAAATTTTTACTACATTTTAGGTTGTACCTGAATGCAGCAATCACCGACTTAAAATTTCTGACAAGGCATTGGGAAAAACTAAATTTTACTTTATTTCCAGTATTTCACTCTTTACTTGTGAACGATTTGTGAAACTTTGGCTATGGCCGGAGTCCATCTTTAAAACTCTCTGCAGTAAAAAAATTAAGGAAATAAATGACAGCTGTGATGAGTTCATCATTGAAGCTCTAGAGGTAAATGAAAAACTACTATAATTGTCTACATACTTAAAGTAAAAAAAATATTATTGCTATTATATATGGAGATATGGACCCCCTAAGTGCGTATTTGAACCAAAATATAAGTAGAGTGTAGAATGGTGTAGGTTGATCCGTGTAGTTTGTTTCTGACAAAAAATAGTGGTTTCATTAGCTAAGATCATTTATTTATAGCTAAAAAATAAGGGACAGTTGGGTCCAGTTTTGGACTAAACAGCTACAGATTTTCTTTCAGGATTGATCCAAGAATCTTTGGCTGCTACGTGAGTGCTATGACCATCCAGCTTCCCACTCAGTTGAACATATATATTTTATATTGGAAACGGCAAATTTATATATTTAGTGTATCTTGTTCCTCACAGTTACTAGTTTTACTATTCAGAATTAAATACAATGTCAAATATATCTATATAAAATAAAAATGCTCGTCCTCACTCCTATTACTTAGTTTACTGTGTTTTTAGGCCAAACATAGTCCCTTTTCATTTAATCGCCTCTACCTAACAGTTTTCCTAACATACTTAAATTTCTTGCAGAAGAGCAGAAAACGTAGGAGTTCATTAAGTACGACCCCTGACAAACAGCAGATTGGTGACGGAGAAGAAAACGTGTCTGGTAAGATCACTAGGCACATATTGCGTTACTTTAAAACATTTTCTGTTTACATTATTTACAACTTTCTGAGTTTACATAGGTAGATGTTTGGAAATATTGCACTTTTTCACTATTTTAACCAACACTATCGATATTTAGGTTTTAAATCGGGTAAAAGTGTAAAGAAAAATACGTTAAAACTTATCAAAAGTTTTAAGAGAAACGTAACACTATTCTTTTTATACAAAGCGTCCATAAAATAAACATCAGGTTTTAATTACACATATATCACTTAATATTTGTTCCACGACACTGTGACTCACACGTGGTTAAAGATAATTTTTTCAAGTTTAATATTGATATGTTCATTGTTCATCGTTTCCCTTTTTGTTCACCTTCATCAGTTGTTTTTAAAATGCTTATAATTGAAGAAAAAAACCCTTCTATGTGTTGTCAGTTAGTGTTTTAACTAACTGTAACTAGTGTTGCACATCGGTATATGTTATACTGATATTTTACATTATACACATTTTTATTAAATATACACATCATATACATACACATTTTTGTACATGTTGAAACAAGGGTTGTTTCCCGAACTTGAAGAGGGCATGGGCGACTTCATGTTCCAGCAAGGGATGGCTACACCTCATTGGCATGCAGTGTCCAAAGTTTTTTTAATAGAGACTCCTTGATGGTTAAGGGGGCCACTGTGCTGAGGATGACTAAGCTCTCCTAAGGTGGCCACCCTTTCCTCGGATCTTACTGTGTGTGATTTTGGTCTCTGGGGCTATGTGAATACAGGGACATCCTTCCATTAGCTCAATCCCTGCCAGAGCGTCGAGAAAGGATTCGCCTTGCAGTGGCAACATCATAAGCCATATACATACCAACGTTTGGGAAAAGTTGCAACATAGACTGGAAACATGTTGCTTCAAACGAACAGCATATTGAGCAACTTTAGTTATATCAAACAATAATTGAGAGTGTTCTCTTTCAATCCATGCAGTTTTTAGTAGCATTCATGTATCCCTGTACGTTCATTAAAGTATTTTAAAACTTGATGAATATTTTATGGACTCGCGGTATAATAAACTAATAATAAAAATAAATCATAAAAAGCCATTCCAATGGAGATTTGCTGAAACATAAGTATTTTGAGTTTTTACAAGTAGTTAATACTATCTGATTTTTGTACATGTAATAAACAACATCGACATAAAATAATAACTCAAGTAGTTTTTAGTTAAAAATGCTTTGTTGAAATTAATACTTGATAGTTCAACATTCTGTTTATTAATACCTTTCAATTGTTTTTAGATGGTCTAGAAACAATAACATTGCAAGATACTTACAAAAGCCTCCAAAACCATGTGCCATCGGTCACAGAGAAAGATCTCCACTACGAAATAAGAAATATACTTTTAGGAGTAAGTACATATACGAACGAATTAATAAACGTGTATATTTCTTAGTACAGCTTATTATAAACTGCTTATTTCAGCTTCATTATCCAGGATTTATAAAAGTTTGAAATAACAGATATAGTCATATTTAGATTCAATAAAGAAGAAATAATGAATTTAATGATTTGTGTTACAATGAGTATAGGAAGTCTTATATTTAGATCAAATCTTTGCATTAGTTCCGAATTGATTTCAATTGAATGATACTTTTCGCACATGTTAAATTGTTTTACTATTATTAATGTTTTTGAAGAAAAATTACCATCCGTTTATAAAAACAGCACACTCAAAATAAAATATTTTCAAAAACATTCGTCAAATATGTGTTGAAACAACAATTTCAAATATGTTAAGAAGACATAATAACTATATATTATGTGAGTGCTAGCAGACCAACATTTTGTTTAAATTTTAAAAAATGGCTATGAGGACTATTTTCTCCTTGCAAAAGCGTAAACCCTGTCGTAAATATTTTGCTTATTCCAAATTTTTGACATTTCCATCCATTTATACTCTTGAATCCTTGACATTTGTAAAACAAGAACTTTCTCAATTTAACGTTTTTGTAAAAAACCACTACACTTTGTGAAACTCACACACATTACCAATCCCTAAACATTCTACAACATTTTTTAAAAGACACTTACAGTACAATGGCATTACACTTTTCAATTCTCTTCCACTTTCTCTTAAGCTTGAACCAAACCTTTCAAAATTTAAAAATATCTCTATTGATAAATTTTACCTCATACAGCGTCCAGGAATTCCTTACTCATATTAGCTCTAGGAATGCAATTGCAAATATTGATTTATAAGACTCTGATAAAATTTATAGTATAATGTAAGCCATTTTGTAGACCTGAATATATTTGTATAATGAAACCCTGTATATATTTGTAGACCCATGTAAGGCATGTTTTAAAAAATAATATGACTTAGCTAATGCAACTTGTTTTGTTAAAATTCTGGCTAAATAAATGATTTGATTTGATTATGTCAACAAAATAATCAACACTTTTGATGGCAAAATAGTATCTGTAAAGTTTATCAGATTTGAAGCCAGTAGCAGTTCTGATTATGCACAGCGTATATTTATTTTGCCTAAATATTTTTAAAGGCTGTTTTAGTAAAGTCTACATTTTGTGCGTAAAATAGTTTACTTTGGGGAATCTTGCCGCTATATAATAATCTTTCATTTTATTAGAGTGTGGTGATTCGTTTATTAGCTGCATGTGAGGATTTATAACTTGCTTGATTTATATTGAATTATTTATAATATTGCCAGTTTTATATTGAATTGTTTTTGTATTTCTATTAAGTTGCCTGCTGAATTCTTTATAGGTTTAATATTTATGAGCTTTATTGTATGTCGTAATATATGTTATTTTATGAACCATATGTTAATATATTACTTCTATTTCCTTGATATATTCTAGATTATTGTATTTTTTTATTTATGTTTTAGGGTTCGGAAAGCACCAGAGTGACTCTATCTTCTTGTCTCCTCGCATTGGGCGCTCATCCTGATATTCAGGTAACCATACTTGTACTATGCAAACAGAAAATGTTCAAATTTAATCCACAACAAACTAAATAAAGTTTGACTTAAATCGTCCTTCTAAGTGATATTGACAAGTGACTTCTAAGTAAGTTTACAAGGGTTTACTCGTTTAACTTATAATTAGTGAAATAACAAGAACGTTTCGGTGACAACCTTGGAAGCGAATAATTTTAGTAACCAAACGTTACCTTCACTATCGTTATTATTCTTAATAGCCCTAACCATAACGTAACCATAATGTAATCGTAAACACATCTATTCCTAACCTATTCTCAATTTATATGACATTTACCTAAGGGAACTTTCTTAAAAACCCTGACATTTTATTGTCTATTCTCTCCCCTCTTATTTAAAAACATACTTGTTGGTATTGCTATAACCAGCTGATCTCTAGTTGTTGATTTTTATGTTATGTTATGAATTTGGAGAATAAACACTATCTTGTTTGGAAATGATTATTTAATTAAAATAGTTTAATTAATAGATAAAATAACGTGGTGTCAGTAGTACCGAATCCACTGGACTTAAGTAACCCAACGCGAGTAAGAGAAAACTGGGAAGTGTTCAAGAAACAATGGAAGAACTATCTTAGCTGAAGCATGAGCATTAGGTGGTACAAGGTTAAGTACACCTAAACTGAAGATGGCCATGTTTTCAACTGTAATTGGCCGCGATGGACTATGTTTGATTGAAAAAATACTTGGCTCCAATGAATCAACCCTGGATCAGGTAATTGAAGCTTTGGATAAGTATTTTTTAGGGACAAACAATCCTTTGTATGAGAGATTCATTTTTAATGGCATCGTTCAAAAGACTGATGAAGCAACTAAAGACTTTATAGGTCGTTTAAAAGAGCAAATACGATTGTGTGATATTGATTCTTTAGCAAATCTGGGCAAGATAGGCCTTGAAGATACTCTAATTTGTGACCAACTTGTTGTAGGCATAACCAATACTGAATTAAAAAGGACACTTTTGCGTAGAAAAGACCTAAAACTTGATGAAGCTATAGAAATATGTATGCATCATGAAACAACTGAAAGGTTTGTTACAAAAATGACAGTGAAATCAGAAGAGGCGGCATTTCAAGCAAAGAGTAGACGCTTAAATAACAAATGGACCTGTCGTTTTTGTGGTAAAAACCATATCAAGGGAGCAAAAAACTGCCTTGCGTTTGGTAAAGTTTGCAGCAATTGTGGAAGGAAGAACCATTTCAGCAGCGTGTGCCGAAGTTCCGGTAAAGTTAATTTGGTCCAAGATAATGACAGTGAAGCTAATCAAGATAGCCAAAGTGAAGAGGAAGTAATGGAACTTAACGATATCCAGTACAAAAAACGACTTTTTGTAAAAATGATGGTCAACAAAAAGCTCAGAAAGTTCCAGCTTGACTCAGGTGCAACTTGTAACGTTATGGGGCTACGAGATCTAAAAACTATTCTGGACGATGAAAATCCTAAACTTAACAGTAGCTCCACTACTTTGTGTTTCTATGGCGGGTCATCCCAAAACTCACTAGGCAGCATTGTGCTTAAAACAAAATTCAAAAAGAATATTTTTGATTTAAAATTTGAAATTCTGAATTCTGAGAGAAATCCTCTTATAGGAGCAGCAGATTGTCTTCGACTAGGCTTGATTTCAACAGATGAAGAGGTTTTCCAGGCTCTCACAGCATCTAACCAAACGGCCACACATCAACATACGATATTTGATAAATTTCCTACTGTATTTGAAGGATTAGGGTGTTTTGAAGGTCTTTGCAGCATAAGAACTGACCCGTCGGTACCACCTTCAATAGCAGCACCCAGGCGACATCCTCTAGCGTTGAAAAAAGAAATATGTGCTGAATTAGATAGACTTGAACAGCTCGGAGTCATCGTCAAGGTAACAGAGCCTACTGACTGGGTCAGTAGTTTAGTAGTAGTGAAGAAACCTAACAAGATACGGCTTTGTATAGATCCTTTTCACCTTAATAAAGCCATTAAAAGGTCTCATTATCAAGCACCAACTATCGAGGAAATAGCTCCACAGCTACATGGAGCAAAGTTCTTTAGTGTTCTGGACCTTAAGGATGGGTTTTGGCATGTAAAGCTAAATGAGGAATCTAGCAGGCTAACCACGTTTTGGACCCCCAAAGGCAGATTTCGTTGGACTAGACTACCTTTTGGTGTTGCTAATACTCCTGAAGAGTTTCAACGAAGAGTTCACGAAAACCTTGAAGGTCTTGAAGGGGTTGTGGCAATAGCTGATGATGTTATGGTATTTGGAAAAGGAAACACAGTTCAAGAAGCTAAGATTGACCATGACAAGAAGCTGAATGCCCTTTTGCAACAAGCTCAGCTTAAAGGGTTAAAGTTCAACAAGAATAAGCGTAAAATAGGTGTAGAAAAAATTCCATACATGGGACATCTTATTACAGCAGATGGGTGGTGTCCTGATCCTAGCAAAGTATAAGCTATAAGCAAACTTTCAGCTCCTACTTCAAAAGAAGAAGTCAAGAGATTCTTAGGATACGTTGTCTACCTATCAAAGTTTCTACCAAGACTATCAGAAGTAGCAACACCGATTAGAAATTTGCTGAAAGATGATAGTGAGTGGGTATGGGACAGCCCACAGAAAGATGCTTTTCAAAAGTTGCTCAAGATGGTTCAAGAAGCTCCTACATTAAAGTACTTTGACCAGACACAGAGTTGTGTTGTGCAATGTGACGCTAGTCAATATGGCTTAGGGGCTTGTCTCATGCAGCAAGGTAAGCCCGTTCCCTATGCTTCAAGAACATTAACTAAGACTGAAGTTGCCTACGCACAAATTGAAAAAGAGTGTCTAGCTATTGTGTTTGGACTTGAACGCTTTGAACAGTATTTGATGGGACATAGAGATATTATAGTTGAATCTGATCACAAGCCCTTGATTTCAGCTCCTAAGAGACTGCAAAGGATGCTTTTACGACTTCAAAAATACAGCTTTTGTGTACAATACAAGCCAGGCACATCAATGCATGTCGCAGATTTTCTGTCCAGATCGCCTCTTAAAGTAACCGGCAGAGAAACAGTTGACGACCTAATCTTCCAAGCAGAGTTAGAGAACATTAATGATTTAGACAACATTAATATTACCGATGAGAGGATTAAGGAGATAAAAGAAGAGTCAAGCAAATGCCCTGTAATGAATAATCTTGTGGACACAATTAAAAAAGGGTGGCCTGATAAACGTACTCATGTTCCTCAAGACCTACAGGAATACTGGAGTGTTAGAGATGAACTATCAGCGATAGATGGAATCGTAATAAAAGGAGACCGTATAGTAGTTCCACGTTCTTTGAGACCTGCCATGCTTAAAATTTTACATTCTTCTCACCAAGGAGTTGAGTCTTGTTTAAGAAGAGCAAGAGAGGTGTTATTTTGGCCGGGAATGGCTGGAGATGTCCAAAGAACTGTCGAAACATGTTGGCCTTGCCAAAAGTATGCTCCAGCTCAGAAATCCGAACCCTTACAGCCTCATAATACTCCAACTAGAGCATGGCAAAGAGTTGGAATTGACTTCTTCCAGCTGGGCAGTGACCACTTTCTTATAATGACGGATTATTTTTCATCATTTTTTGAACTAAAGAAAGTGAATTCACTGAAAACAGAAGGCCTGATTCAGTTTTGTAAAGAACAATTTGCTCGCTACGGAATACCAGACGTTGTTGTTTCTGACAGTAGTACCCAACTAGTTAGTCAAGACTTCAAGCTTTTTGCCCAGACTTGGATGTTCAAAATTGTTGTTTCTTCACCGCATAATCACAAATCCAAAAGTAAGGCAGAATCAGCGGTTAAAATTGCTAAGAGAATGTTAAAGAAAGTAAAGAAGACTTTCAAGCAGCTCTATTAGAGTGGAGAAATACACCACTGGCTGACTTGGGTGCAAGTCCTGTGCAGTTATTAATGTCAAGATCAACAAAGACTCGTTTGCCAGTAACAGAGATGAAACTAAATTCAAAGATACACATAGGAGTCACAGACAAGTTGAAGGAAAAACAAGAAAAATACAAGAAGCACTATGAGAAAGGCACTCATGCATTGGACCCACTTAAAGTTGGGCAAAAGGTATTAATACAGAAGAGACCAGACATGAAAGCAGAACCGTGGACGCCTGGCGTAATAGTAACTGTGGATGGGTTGAGAACTTACATTGTAGCAATTGAAGGAAGACTATTTAGACGCAATAGAAGATTCATTCGTCCATTTAAAAGTTAAAGAGGGAGATGTTGGTATTGCTATAACCAGCTGATCTCTAGTTGTTGATTTTTATGTTATGTTATGAATTTGGAGAATAAACACTATCTTGTTTGGAAATGATTATTTAATTAAACTAGTTTAATTAATAGATAAAATAACAATACTATAGTATACCCTGCTATTGACTTTTATATACTGGGGTAGACATCTTAATTACCTTAATCACCACCTTAATTACCTCCTCCTTGACCGAGACCAGCAGAGCTGGATAGGTTGCGTCAATTTTCTATTTACACTATATACATAAAAACTTTCATAGATTGAAGTATGAACTATATTAAAAGTACTTTGGCGGTGGATGATCATGCCGCAGGCTTATTGACTTAAAGTTTCTCATTAAAATAATCTTGTAGGCTGTAGTATGGTTTCTCCCTCAACAAGTTTTTCAGGGCTGTACGAAAGGCAGTTTCCCATTGGTTTTTGATTGACGTAGGCAGGTGGTTGTAATCTTCAGGGCAAGCGTTGGGAAAGAGTTTTTGGTTTTAGACAGCCGGCAGAAAGGTATGTCCAGGTCGGAGCGATGTCTTGTACCATAGCTATGAACAGTATTTCTTGTAGGGAATTTATGTCCTATATATATGAACCAGTTGTAGCCTATTTTTAACGAAATAAAAACATAGTTGAGATAAATCAGTCACAGAATGCACTAACGCACTATTTATACAAAGTGGTGCACTATTTTAAAACGTTTTTATTAGCAATCAATTTTATACTAACTTCCCGATGAGCTAGAGACTTGAAACTTAGCTCACAAATGGAAGACAATGCAATATTATATAATTTAATTTTCATATTTCCCTTGGGCTACGCCCCATGGGCCTGTTTTCATTAACTCGCTTTCTTGCAAATTTGTATACTTCCCGATGAGCTAGAGACTTTAAACTTGAAACATAGCTCACAAATGGATGACAATGCAATATTATATCATTTAGTTTTCATATTTCCCTTGGGCTTCGCCCCATGGGCTTGTTTTTATTGGCTCGCTTTCCTACAAATTTTGATATCAATTTCAAACGAAGTTCCCGATGAGCTAGAGACTTGAAATTTGAAGCATAGCTCACAAATGGATGACAATGCAATATTATATCATTTAATTATAATATTTCCTTTGGGCTACGCCCCATGGGTTTCCAAATTGTTTATATTTTGAATGAATGTAAATATATCAATTAATTTAAGTCAGCTGTATATGCTTAAATTTGACTGTTCGAAGAGCAGAGGTTAAGAGGTACAGGTTACGCTCCCCTCCCAAGAGATTCTTTATACACTATAACTAAAAAGTAGAAAATAATTTATAAATAAAAACCCTTTTTTAAAACAAAAAGTTTTTAAACGCACTAAAAAGTAGAAAATAATTTATAAATATGTGGAGAGTATAAATACTAGTAAGATTTAAAACGAAAAACGTGGGGTGCATGCAATTGATAATAATACATTTGTTCAATAGGTGAAGGTAATTTTGTAAATTATCTATTGCAAGCACCCCACGTTTTTCGTTTTAAATCTTACAAGTGTTTATACTCTCCACATATTTATACATTATTTTCTACTTTTTAGTGCGTTTAAAAACGTTTTGTTTTAAAAAATGGTTTTTATTTATAAATTATTTATCTCTTAGTGTTGTTTTACGGAGATTGTAAACCTGACAAAAATAATCTGTAGCTTATTAGTCGACTTATTCGTTTGAATTGGTTGTAAAGTTTGTGTATTTGACATAAATCAGTAATTGCTGTCAGCATACACTGTTGATGGCTCAACCCACTCAACTACGTCCATTTTAGAAAGAAATGGTGTCAACTTAAACATGGTGTTTGAACGTCTAGTTCCATCAATAGTCAAACGCATCACATTTTAATCCCTAAAAACAAGAAGTATACAATTTCTTTCTTTGAAAACATTATGAAAGCATTATTAACGTTCTAGGAAAAGCTGTACAACGAAGTTATGGCAGTCACAGGATCGGATATAGGTAGTGACGTCACGCTGGAAGATATCCGAGACATGCCTTACTTGGACCAGGTTTTGAAGGAAACACTCAGGAGGTTTATAGTTGTTCCTATAGCATCTAGAACGGTCCAAGAGGATATACAGCTAAGTATGGAACCATTTGACCGGTCTTAAAAGAGTATTAGGGATTTATTAATAGGAAGTGATAAGATAGTAGTTGGAGAACGAGTCAGCATGTTTTTTTTTTTTTTTTTTTTTTTAGAGGAACGTTAAGTTTGGTTGGGATACGATTTAAAGTTTTTATGTAATCATAGCTTAAATCCAAACGAACATACTGATATAAGCTTGATTTTACTAAGCAGTACAAATAACAGTTAGTGGATATAGTAATGTTTTGTTTCAAAAAGATTTAATTTTACTAGCTAATAGAGGTGTATAAATTCCTAATGTGTACGCTACATATTTTAACAGTGGATTCCCAGAGGTAATACTCGTAGTTAAAAAATTGTTGTTGTACTGTGACAACTCATACAATCGTATGAGTAATATCAATGAATATAATATGCTATCTTAATGTATTCATGCAAACAACTAGTACGAGAGGACAAACTATTTGGGAGTTTAACTGTGCAAAATATTTGAAATTTACACTGTAAAGTTGAAGTTAATATCATTAATAGTAAAATGCACTACATTATTACAATTTGTGTTAATTTTTAGAAGTACGTAAGGGTGTGCTTATTAAAGTCAAGACAATAGTTGATAAAAAAAACTACACAAATACACAAATTCGCTATTATTTTGAGTGTAAAAGGTAACAAAATCACCTCTTTGTTAATATATCTAACTTTTTATCATTTCGTTGAACCTAAATGTCGAACGAAAATTTTTAGTTATTACATTGCTACTGATATAAAAACAATCAATCTTTAAATCGCATTTAAAATTATCTAATTAATAGTCATAATTTATCATCTACTATTTTTGATGAAGTTGTAAATAAAACCCATACAATATTACAACCAGTACGTTTTCTTTATGTCTACTTATTAAGTGTCAGCTTTATAATTCCGATTGCATTTTGTTTACATTATTTAAACATGTGATGGTTCTTAGACTCTATATTAAATCACACTTGGGCAGGGTATTCAATATTAAATTCAATATCAGAGGGAAAAAATTCATTAAAAGTTCATTATTTCCTCATTTGAAAACCTGACCAATTTACTTTGTTTGAAAAAAAAAATGTTTTCAGTAATTGCAGCTTTTAGGAGAACACTATACAGGGTGAATAAAGAGTCAAGACCCCCCCCCCCCTCTAATATTTTTCCAAGTAAATATACAGAGATATCCTTTTGGTGGTCGAGCAATCTTAGCAGGAAGTTTCATTTTATCATTTTGAAATTTTTGAGTTTCCCCCCAAAAGGGGGGATTTGGGGGGTAACTCAAATATTTCAAATGTAAACCCCCTTCAAGTGACACCTCATTTTGAAGTGTTTACAAAAACTTAAAGAATGGTGAAAACTAGAGGTCACTATCTCTTCTCTATCTAAAATGGTAGCCCGTCAAATGTTGTGGAAAATCGATGGTAAAATTGTTAATATTGGTTGTCATTTTGGATAGAGAAGAGATAGCGAGCTCTGGTTTTCACCATTCTTTAAGTTTGTTTAAGCACTTCAAAATGAGGTGTCACTTGATAGGGGTTTCTATTGAAACATTTTTAGTTGTCCCCGATTCCCCCCTTTTGGGGGACACTCAAAAATTTTAAATGTAATTCCCCTTCAAGTGACACCTCATATTGTAGTGTTTACAAAAACTTAAAGAATGGTGAAAACCAGAGCTCGCTATCTCTTCTCTATCCAAAATGGCAGCCAATATTAACAATTTTACCGTTGATTTTCCACAACATTTGACGGGCTACCATTTTTGATAGAGAAGAGATAGCGACCTCTAGTTTTCACCATTATTTAAGTTTTTGTAAACACTTCAAAATGAGGTGTCACTTGAAGGGGGTTTACATTTGAAATATTTGAGTTGCCCCCCAAATCCCCACTTTTGGGGGACACTCAAAAATTTCAAATTGATAAAATGAAACTTTCTGCTAAGATTGCTCGACCACCAAAAGGATATCTCTGTATATTTACTTGGAAAAATATTAGAGGGGGGGTCTTGACTTTTTATTCACCCTATGTACAAAAGATTCAACTTATATTCTGACATTTCATGTAAAACATAAAACTGAAGCCATCTACAATCGTAAATAATTCAAGCGATAAAACTGTAACAATAAATCTTTCAGTAAGTCAGAGCTAACTGTTGGAACATTTTGAATTCCACTAATTATATAAAAATGATTGCATTGCATATAGGTGATTCTACCGATTTTTAAACCTGTGTTTGCAAGATTTTACTTTTAATTTTAATTTTCAAATTTTTCTTTAACTGTTTCAAAATATATTTAACGTATATTTAGACAACAAGTTGTAATATAGTGTCCAAAATCAAAACATACCTATAAAAATTCCCAGCGCACACAATGTTGTATATATCTATATCAAACGCCAATCAATAAACACGACTAGACACATTAAGTTGTATTAAATATATATTATATATAACTTATATTATATATATCATATATATCATATTTATTACATATATTATATATTTATATTATATATATATAATATACATATGATATATATAATATATATTTAATATATATTTTTCACGGTGTTCTAATTTACCCTGTTATCCACAGAGGGATGGACGATTCCTTCAGGATCACTTGTGGCAGTTTTGCCATTCGCTTGCCATTACAACTCCAATTACTACCCTGATCCTGATAAGTTTGACCCTGATCGCTTCAGTCCTGAAAATGTGGCAGCGAGAGACAGATATAGTTTCATGCCGTTCAGCCTGGGCCCTCGTAACTGCATTGGTGAGTTAACTTCAGATCAGTAAAGGATTAACTAGGATTCAACAATAGATAAAATTTATTTGTCATTCAAAAGAAATGTAATAATAGCCAATGGCGGGTATTTATAATCATGTGGGATTTGACCTTACTTACTTACTTACTCCTGTGGCCACACAAATCCATGGAGATTTTTGGCCTCGCCAACAAGGTGCCTCCATCTTTCTCTATCTTCTGCCTCGTCCAACTCTGCGCCCAGTCTTCCGATGTCTTCAGCAACCTGGTCATCCCATCTAAATCTCGGTCTCCCCAGTGGGCGTCTTCCTTCAGGCTTTCCCCTCCACACTCTTCTTATACTGCTGCCTTCTTCTCTTCTTCTAACATGCCCAAGCCATCTGACTCTCCTACTTCTAATTAAAGCTACAATATCAGGTCTTTTATAAAGGTCCCTTAACTCTTTATTCTTTCTAATCCTCCACGCCCCATCTTCCAAAGTTGGTCCGTATATTCTCCTCAGTATTTTATTCTCAAAAGTTATTAATTTTCTCTCTATGTTCTTTGTGAGGGTCCATACTTCCGAACCATAGAGAAGAACAGGTTGGATTATTTGGGATTTGGCCTTAGTACTCCAAAAACCTTTTTGTTATCGGTTTAAATCATTGATTGCCAGACTTAGTTGATGACAATCTGGGGTAAATAATTAGGTAGGTAAGGATACATAATTAGGTAAATATTAAAAATATTTTCTTCAACAGTTATTACGAGCCTAAGCTAATAAATAAGAAATATTCTTTAATCTACTACTTCCAAAATAGTGTCTTTCACCCGGAAAGTCAAAAATTTAATCATCTACGACCGTTTTTTTCAACGAGCCTTTTCAATTCGGCGTATAATTGAAAAGATTTACTTTGCAGTATTGTTTACAAGTCCGTACAGTATTGTTTTATTACAAGTTAGCACCAATGATGTTCAAGAATGAGAGAAAAGAAGTATAATTATAATACTTTTAACGTCAAATTATCAGCTGTTGAGACCAGTTTAATTGATTGAACAATGAGTGAGTGGTTGGGACAATAAGTATTTGCACCACAATCAGTAGCAATGAGAAGTTATTAACGAAAACGGACGTTCGTGGTTAAAGTAGTGTAAGCAACTCACAAAATTGTCCTTTACAACATTACCTTAAATTTAGTAAACAACTCTTTCAGTGTGACTAATTTTCTTTTGTCCTGACACTCATTCTTCCGACACTCATTCTTTCGGATTTAAAATTAAATTGGCAAAAAACAATACAAATCTTACATAGGCCTAAGATAGCTTTCTAAACGCAATGTTACCTTTGCAGGGAAAAACTACTCCATGCTAGTTCTTAAGACCTTCTTAGTTCACATTGTCAAGAGGTTCAAGTTTTCGACTACTGAAGACCTCACCTCTCTACCAGTGGCAGGAGGAGTCATAACTGGACTTCTGAATGGGTATTGGGTCCAAATAGAGCCCAGAATACGAAAGTCGACTCCTCAAGAGTCTGTAGAAGGCCATCCACTGCCAAAACCTTATATCTCACAGATTCATAACACCAGCAGAAGTGGGAAATTCATAGACTAGTTGTTCATGGCCTGTGCTCAAAATGTGTTCAATAGTTTTAGAAATTATCCGAAAAAATATTGGCTAGTGAAAAGAGATTTATGAAATTGTGATATCCTAAGTGTAAAATATTGTTAATTCATCACAATCAAACTTCATAGAGAGAGTATTTAGTCGCAAAAATGTTGGAAACCAACGCATGGTCAAAACAGTGAGCGTAGCAAACATAACAAAGGAAAGTTGTAAAACCATTCTACATTTTTGTGTGGATAAACATTTCAATTGTTGTCAAGAGAACTTTACCCTACATTGTTACCATTATAGAGTGTTTTTAGCTTTAAATTATACAAAAATAAATGTTAATGTGTGTTAGTTCATAATTTAATCTCAAACATGTTGACAATCTATGTTAGATTAATATTAGTGAAATAAGCAATGTTTTATATGTAGTCATATATCAACAGTATTACATTTAATGCCCATGTTCAAAACTTTCCCAACGCTAACTCGTTGGATAACTATCATTTAACAGACCTAAGGCCTGTGCAGCAGGCTACAAGCAGGAAAATACGGCAAAGTAAGTTCAAGAAGGATGTTTTAGATATAACAAGCTCATATAGTACTTTGCATAAGCTTATGTATACGAGTAAGTTTTAGGATAAAACTAACATATTTTTCATCCATAGACAGATAGAATGTGCAGAAGTATAAAGTGGTAAAATGACGAAAGCTGTTCAACTGTTGATTCGAGGCGCAATATAATGTTTATAATCGGTTTTCTGAACATATAGATGCGGTATATTTTGTCAACTTTAACCTAAAGTATTTTAGAGAAATGTATTTAAGTACATTCACTCTTAAAAGATAATTTTAGGAATATATCTGGTATCAAGGTTAGGAAAAAAACAAACCTTTTAATTAATTATGATTGTGGTTAAACAGTTACAATTCAGTTCAAAAATATATCAGTTAACTATCAATATAAAAAAGTGTATTAAAAGGTAATGAGTTAATTTGATTTTTATAGTTTCTTATTAATAAAAAAATTTCGTTAAAATCTTATACAGTTAAGCACTTTAGTTTTTATTTCTGCCCATTTCACTAATATACAGATATCACACCACTCTGGGCTGAAAGCTTGACAATAAACTGCCAAACTATGTTGTAGATATTCCTAGTGATAATGTATTCTTTGAAATGCTGCATAAATAAGCCCTAATAAAACCCAATGTACAAGGTTTATGATTTTTATAAATCTGAAATAGTTATTAAGCATGCTGCATAGCTTGGATTAGAAAATTGTATTTAGCTTCAAGACAAACTTGATGACTGTTGCTCTGCTTTGACTTAAATTTTGTAGGCTAATTTTACTTAAATTTAGTTATTGGATTGTAAACAATGTATTTGCTTAGTGTTCAATAATGTCTTATTCTTATTCTCATACTACCCATTTAATTATTTATGGGAAATGTTTTACCTCAATGCAGTTTATATTTAGTATTACACTACAGGTAAGTATGGAAAGCAAGAATACACTTCGAAAAAATTGTAGGAAATAGATTTTTCACTTTGGAAAATCATGTTAAACGCAATGTTAAATCTATTTCTTATCCAACAAATATTTTTACAGTGAATAATATTTTGTTCCGTGAAATATATATTAATGTTATTTTCCAGATGTTATTTTGATGATACAAGCGATTTTACGAAAAAACATACTAAAAGAAAATAATTAATACTTAATACTTAATACAAAAATAAAATAATAGCCTATTTTTTAAGAAAATTTTAAATTCGAGTAGTTATTCAACCCTTAAGTTGAATAGTAGAATATTGGTGGATTTGGATAAATGGTTAATCATTTGAAAAATCCTTTGAAAATCCGTGTGATAGTTAAAAACGTTAGTCTTCAGACAGAAAAGATTGGTTTTCGGAGAAGGTTTGAGTGCTTTTAAATAGATTTAAAACCCTTTATCTTATGCAATCACTATTCCAGTCTCAAGCCTTTTCTTCTCTGTGGACTAAGGAAATTCCTCTAGGGTTTGAGAAGTAATTGAATTTAAAATCTTGAGCTTAAGTGCAGGGTATTTTCTACGGCAAGTTTGAATAGTCGTAAAATAGTATAATTTAAACCGATTATGGATAGAAAACATTTTGCTACACTTGTTGCTCATTATAATAGTCATTTTAATTTAAATTTAACCAATCATTATTATATTCATTATTATATGAATATTTTACAACAGTAAAAAACCTGACTAAAAACAACCTACTGGAAACAGGTTTGCTTTATTTATTCTATAGCCAACGTTGGATCAAATTGCTTGTGTAAAAGGAGTTGAAATGTTTAAAAGTTCAAGCCCCTGTTTTTTATCATTATATAACTTCAGAATACATAATGTTTTCCTTCCATTCAATTACTATTAACATTTTAATCAAAACTGTGTTTACAATGCGATTGCTTATAAATTTCAAATGTGTGTCTTTGCTTTTGACACAGTAATTGTAGATTTTTAAACAGTCTCATTATTGAAATATGTTGTTTTAATACAAATAATAGTTATACAACGTTGTATGTGACACTGTTAAAGCTAAGCCAATTATCGGCGAGGAAGCAATAATTTATAAATACTCTTTTAGGGAAACAAAGACGCACCTAAGATTTTTATTTAAGATTTTTTATTAATTAACCGAAGACAGAACATTTAACAGAATTTCCAAACATTTTAGATTTCAACACTATTATTTTACTGTTTTTAGCGAATTTCCCTATATGTCCCCAGAGGCCAAAAACGCCATTCGTTCAAATTTTTTTGATGTATATATATTATACACTTTAAATAAATATATATACGTCCGTGAACGCGATAACTTGAGTAATTTTTGACCGATTTTGATGAAATTTGGTTTAAAGGTGTAAAGCGGGATAAACTTGAATGAGTTCGCGAACCAGCATGATCGGACCATGGGAACAGGGCTTTACGGGGGGTTTTATGGGGTAAAAATTGGTTTTTCGCACTTTTGACCTTCAAAACACGAAATTTCCCAATTTCTCTTTAGACCCTTTTAAAGAGCTTAAAAAACAAATAATTTAGTTTATAAAAGTATTTTTGTTCGGTTGTTAGTAACGGAGAAAATTTTAAAATTGTTAATTTAAAATTCCCATGTTATTCTTACGGAGAATATTGTCAAATGTTGTAGTTTGCTTGTTTTTTATGGATATATTTTGATCAAATTTGGCAAATTTATTTATTTTGTACTAAGCTATCAATATTTTACTGAAAAACACACTTTATTAGTTTCCTTGTAGCAGCAAACCTAGGTACTTGTTAAACCTAAATATTATTAAAAGGTATTTAACTAAAAATCAATTCAGACAAATGGAAATTCGCTTAGTCGGCAGGTTTGCTGCGGCGGTGGTATTATTGTTATTCAGCGTTTTAAATAGTGGCAGATATTGTATCGGCAGTGTGGGCGATCTCCAAGATCTAGATATCTGATATCTATACTCTTCAAACAATAACATGACAGTTAAAGTGGTTGACAAACTGACCTTGATTGATCGATACTGAAGCGTTGTTCTAAGACTTTGTTTGGTGGTGTGAATTTTTTTGTTATTTTTATATTCATAATTTACTTAGCTATAACGTTCACTAGTAAGTTATTTAATTCTATAAAAGTAAATAAAAATAAAATTGGATCTTAAATCAGGTACAGAACGAATCAACGCCTTTGCTTTGACCGTCAGCCAATCTGTAGTGCTAACTTACACTTAAAAACACTAACTAAAAGTTATCTTGTAAATTTTAAATTCCCAGACTTGTACAATAACGATTTCGTAGTTTAAATAACCCCAACTGTCTAGATTTTATTTTCCATCATAGAGTTCAGTTTTTTTAACTTAAGGCGCAAATGTTTTGACATTTTATGAGTGTAATACCTTTGACCCCCTCTTAGACCAAATACCCTAACACTCTGCATCAAATACCACTTGTAATTTTGTGGTGTATTGGTCATATCCAATAAAAATTGTGTCCTTAGATCTCAACCCTCAATTTGACCCATTTTTCTACCTGAGCAGCGGAAGAATGTAAAATCCTCGTTCTGGAAAAGCCCTGGCAGTGGATGCCACACGATATTGCCTATCCTTTAATACTTTTTATACTTTTCATTTAAATGGTGACCATAGAAAGATAAGAAACATGAGAGTAAGGTATAGACGAAACATTCAATGGTACACTTATGTGGTGTATAGCACCAGAGCTGGTGTCTATGCCAAAATCCACCACGACGCTCCTCACCACTAACAATGTACTACAACAAAGTTCATGGGGGGGAGGAAGACACTCTGCTTCCCCTATGCGATAGGAATTTACGCAAATTTCTCGCCGTTCGAGCTCTTTTCTACTTAAGACAAGTATATTTTCGGCACTACTAGCACAGCTGAAACGTGTTTCTCTGTAATCTACATCTCTGTGCCTATCCTTAACTGGCGTGACTGAAACAGCCGTAACCCATCACAAACTACACAAGGTACAAATCCATCCTTACACATTGCCATTATTGTACAGGAATTTGTCACATGGTCCCCGTTTCTCCTGTCGAGCTGTTTGCAATAGCAGGTAGAAGTCGGAGTGCACCTGGGTTTTGGGGAAACGGGCAGATCAGCGTCAGTCATACAACTTTTAACCCGTCCTCGGCCGAAGAATTCGCCAAGGTCCAACCCGACGAAATTTATTTCCGACCCATTAGAGCAGGTACCAAACGCTCCTCGATCCACGAATTTGGGTTTTTAGCTTCCCTCCTTTCACATTGAGTAGTAGCTATCTACACAAATGACCCGTTTTGTGCTTTCCATTTGCACTATATCACAAAATACATATTTTGGTGCTAATTGATTTTCAAGTTATATTAACTGAAGAAGTGATTCGGTGCGGTAATAAAACTATAAATCGGTACGTACTGAAATTGGATTCAGTTTTCTCACATAAAGATTATGATTCGATGTTGGCAGTTTTAAATTTTACAAAATATACTATTAGTGTCCTTACACCGACACGACCACAGTAGTTTTAACTAAGTAAAATATAACAAAATATAGGTAAGTAATAACGAAATTAGCTTATTACATATAAATTGTTTATTTTACATGCTACACTATAAAACGGTAATATAAAAACCAAACGTTAGATGGATACATCTTAAAAAAATCTGATAACCCAATTATATTTTAAAATAATAATTACGACTAGAATGGTAAAACACAAGATAAATAAACGATAGCTTCGATGGAATGATACGGTCTTTGTCTCTAAGGAGTTATCTGGTTTGAACTGTTGGTCTTAGTTTTAAATTTCTTCTACACCTTTAGCTAACCAACCCATTTGTTTGATCAATACCTTAGAATTCTTTTTTCTCTTTGGAGACAATACGTGCTATTAATATTTGTATTTTCAACAAAAATGCTTCCAGGAATACATGTCTTGGTCTCAATTACAACTACATTTAATGATAATATTTTTAGGACTAATAAAAGTAATTAAATCATTTAGATGTAGAAAAAACTGCATGTTTACGGTGAATATATTAACAGTGTGTTATGTGTATAGTTATAACATCTATGGATAAACTAGTTTTAATTTATTTAATATTCACTGGTTTTGTCAAACAATATTTGTAGTTCGATTATATTGTCTATTCTATTAAAAAAGAACAAGCTTTGAGTACAAGTATTTGTACAAAAAGAGTGTATGGATTGGTTGTATTATGCTCTGAGTTGGGGAAAGTAATCCCTTCAACTACTGTTCAAGAATCGTTTGAGTGGCCAAGTGGTAAATCCCTTGACTTAGGTCTAGAGTGCTCTTGCTTTGATATAAAATGTATCGTGTGATGGTGGTTTTAAAGTTTCCTTTTCCTTACTGACCTTAATTCTTAACCCATTATTGATTACCTGAATAGTTTTAATATCGTATACATAAGGGATATGCTAATCATATCCTACTGCTAGTAACCAATTAATTGTAAATACAAATATTTCTGATTACTTTAAATTGCTAAAAGTCTTATTTAAAATTAGCAAATTTACGTCCTTGCAAACTGCAAAATACAATTATGTAATTAAAAATAGCATAATTCATCTTAACAAAATATTCTGAATTAAAAGCCTTCGGTAAAATAGAATTTCTACCACGTTTTGGTGCGAATTCCTTACACAGAGGAAGTTTATCGGAAATAGATAGAGAACCTGTCACGTTGACAAATAAAGTCTTAGACCCAAGAGATCTTCAGTCCAGGAAATATGGTTTCATGTCCACGTGTGTTCCTGGTCCATAGAAAATTTATGGAAGGTACGATTTATTGAATTTTAAAATATAATTAATCTATGTTTTCAAATGGGGTTTCGTCACATGAATCAAGTATCTAATTTTATTTGAAAAAACTAAATGAGAAATATATAATAAGTGTAACCATAAAAAATGTAAATTCATTATTCATTTAAACTTCTTAAAAAAAAATTAGAGCAAATATTGCCTAGGCCCAGTAGTAAAACAATTTTAATAAAAAGTGGCATTTTCATGTACGTACCGATAGCAAACTTGTTTACTGGTTCGTTGAATTCCATCGCAATAATTTCAATAATCCCATCACATAATTGATTGTCCTGCTAATTGAATCAGTATAAAACACGGGTTTACATTTCATTTTAAACGATTTCCACGAAAAATCTCTAAGAGTTAAAATTATATCTGTCGTATATTGTGGTTTAATGTTTAATACTCGCATACGCAATACAAAGACCTTATTGAACTAGGTCGTATTCGTTATTGACTTATTTCTGCTTCAGCTTTGAAAACAATCAAATATCATCTCTATAACTGGATTAAAAGTACGTGGTACGTGGATATCATTTTGTATAGGCTTTCCATGGATTATTTCCATTCAACGAATCGAGTAGAAATAAAACACCGTCCAAAAGAGCAACTGATTTATATTTTCACATAAATTCGTATTCTTAGTTTTTTGGTAAATCGTAAAATAAAATGTTTAAAAATCTTACAATATATTTACACATTGCCATATTTTCAATAATAAAGAGGTAAACATGTTTTATGGATAAAAAATATCTATTCATAATAAAAAAAATAAAAAAAAGTCTGAACTAAATGCAAATACAGGTCATAAGATTCAACAAGGACCTTTAAAAAATAGTTTTACCTCAAGCTGTAAACATAGACATTGATACCTACTTATTTCTATTCCTACCCACTCATTACTCATAACTCATAACTCATCACTCATCACTCATCACTCATCACTCATTACTCCTTGTTCTCTTCTTCTTGAGAATTGAGAATCTAGAATCGAGAATCATGAATCGAGAGTCTAAAATCTAAAATCAAGAATCACAAGAATCGAGAATCGAGAGACGTGGGTCGAGAATCGAGAATCGAGAATCGAGAATCGAAAATCGAAATTTGATCCGCTATACTTTATACCTTAGCCTTAATTAATTAATTATTATTCATTATTCATTATTCATTATTCATTATTCATTGTTCATTGTTCATTGTTCATTGTTCATTGTTCATTGTTCATTGTTCATTATTCATTTTTCTTTGTTCTTTGTTCATTATTCATTTTACTTTGTTCTTTGTTCTTTATTCATTATTCATTATTCATTATTCATTATCCATTATTCATTATTCATTATTCATTATCCATTATCCATTATCCATTATCAATTAGTCATTATTCATTATTCATTATTCATTATTCATTATTCATTATTCATTATTCATTATTCATTATTCATTATTCATTATCCATTATCCATTATCCATTATCCATTATTCATTATTCATTATTTTATTGATATCCAATATTCATTATTCATAATTCATAATTCATTATTCATTATTCATAATTCATTATTCATGATTCATTATTCATTATTCATTATTCATTATTCATTATTCATTATTCATTATTCATTATTCATTATTCATTATTCATTATTCATTATTCTTTGTTCATTATTCATTTTTCTTTGTTCTTTGTTCTTTATTCATTATTCATTATCCATTATCCATTATCCATTATCCATTATTCATTATTCATTATTCATTATTCATTATTCATTATTCATTATTCATTATTCATTATTCATTATTCATTATCCATTATCCATTATCCATTATCCATTATCCATTATCCATTATCCATTATCCATTATCCATTATTCATTATTCATTATTCATAATTCATAATTCATAATTCATAATTCATAATTCATTAATTCTTTATTCATTATTCATTATTCATTATTCATTATTCATTATTCATTTTTCATTTTTCATTATTCATTATTCATTATTCATTATTCATTATTCATTATTCATTATTCATTATTCATTATTCATTATTCATTATTCATTATTCATTATTCATTATTCATTATTCATTATTCATTATTCATTATTCATTATTCATTATTCATTATTCATTATTCATTATTCATTATTCATTATTCATTATTCATTATTCATTATTCATTATTCATTATTCATTATTCATTATTCATTATTCATTATTCATTATTCATTATTCATTATTCATTATTCATTATTCATTATTCATTATTCATTATTCATTATTCATTATTCATTATTCCCTAGACCCTAGACATATACGTATAAACTAAACTATCGTAAAACATAATCAGTAAGAATATTAAAAAAATCTCGTTCCCTTCTGACTACCTGTTTCTCAAAAACTTATACCTAAAAGTGATTGTTTTATGTGCCACCTTCACATCCTAAGACGCTAGTTCTATTCCGGAACTGCTTTCTACAATACTTCAGGCTGATCCTAGAGGCTTGCGGCAACATGGATAAAATTCATTGATTATAAGCGGGATTTGAACCCTGAAAGGTATTAGGCAAGTTGACTCCAGTTTCAAAATACGTTTCCCCTAGTTTGTTGAAAGTCCACTAGTTCAACACTACTATTAATTATGATTAAATATCACGCTAATTTTAACTGGTCCACTCATCATTGTACTTCTATTGAAAATTCTGTCTGGTTTGGAAAAGCCCTAGAGACGTTTGTAGGCTGGTTTATGGATGCAAAAGATACAATCTGGCCTATTGAGATTATGACTTGATGATAAATACAGCTTTGTCCAGGGTTTGCGGCAGTTAAATATGTTCTTGTAAATCTTCTTACCTCCCATGACATAGGGGAAAGCTGAATATTTTTCACGACTATTTCCATTCATTTATTATACAGTTTGAAAAGATCCATATACATGATAGTTTGTTATTTTATTTGAAAAAACTAAATGAGAAATATATAATAAGTGTAACCATAAAAAATGTAAAAGGAGTTAAACATATTTTCTGTAGAGGCACAAACGCTTGCATACTTGTTTACTTAAAGTATTGTCTATGGTATAAAATAAGTAGTGTACTATACCACGATTTACTACTAATACTTACTAATATTTTGTATCAAATTTTTATTTCTTTCATTATTATAAGAATGCATTTATTCTCGATGGGGCTTGCGTATCTTGTATCATGATACCTAGCATTACCTCTTTTGTTGAAATTCCCATGTAGAGAAACCCAAGAAGGTTTCTGTATTTTCCAAGTAAACACTCATGGCCTAAAGAAATGCCAGATACCTGGATAGTCAAAAACCGATTATTAATTAATTAAATTGATAAAAAAAGTGTAAGATTTTGACCGGTGAAAGAATTGAGATTGTTAAAACCTTTTAACTTACCATAGTAGACATTAAAGCATTCCATAGAACAAATATCTAATTTGGTTTTATCCATTAATTTGTTAGGATGTGTTGATTATAATGGAGGTTACTGAGCTCATCAATGGAGCAAGTTCTACTGTTTCATCGCCAGAGATTTAATTAATGGTAACTGTTTGAAAGGCAATACTACCCTAACAACATCGTAAAAGTATCAGGTGATTTTGTTGACTAATAATTATGTTTTTTTAGATATACTAGTTGTTATGTGTAAACAAAATTTTTCAATAGCAATTTGTTAAGGGGTGTGTAAAAATTAAGTCCATAATCACTGCGAATAATAAGTGGCTGTTTCATACAACAATTGTAAGCGTTTTTACTAATTGTGTCTCCTTTTTAGTTTTATTTCTTTTTGACGTTACTATTTCTTAACGTTTACCCTTAATTATTCGAGCTATTTATTATCTTTATAATTTTATTCTTTTATTTTAAAAATAATTTTAATTTCTCATATGAGAAGTACTCGACTGTAAAATTTGATCATTTGAGCCAAATCTTTTATCTCATAAATTCAATCAGGGTAATTTCTTAAACCATCTACAACTATCAAACACCCTCATTTCTTATAATTGGTCACAGTCCGATACCAAGACACAAACTCCCCATACTCAAGAAAATCTGTAAAAATATCACAAAACATAGGTTTTACAGTTTTATAACAAATTAACAACTAAAATTCAATGTATCGGCTGGATCGGCCTAACAGTCACTAATCATGTGTTTACTTACGAGCAATTATCTACAGCTGGTAGTAGAACTAGGTGACAGTTACGCACAGTTTAGTGTAGTGGGAGTTGTATTTTGAAGAATATTGAGTAAGTAGATTCTATACCTAAATATATACTAAAAGTAAAATTTGTTACAGACTATTCAATATGAACTAGTCAATCAACAACAGCCACATTTTACATGAGTCCAAACGCAATTCTTTATAAATTACACAAATAAATGTTGGGTATAAATATATCTTTTCTTGAGTTTTGTAGGCATACAGTGTGTATACACTACTTATACTTTTTTCACCGAGACTTCTCACCGTATGGGAACCTCAAATTAGCATTTAAAATGGCATAAATCACATAATGTTACATTAATATGAGACCTTTCATGACAAATTGTATATGTTGCTCTAACTGAGCTTAGAATTTTATATTTGTCCGCCATTCATAAATTTAGGCAAGCCAAACTTGATATTAAATTCCAAAAGTGCTAAATTTTTTAGCTGAGAAAAATTATTGTTGCAAATTGTAAAATCACCGAAATAGGTAGATTTCCTCTCCTAATTAATACATTTTAAGAAAAACCCATGTTAGTTAAACTAGGCTTTTAGTGAAAATGTTTCTTTGGTTAAAAATAATATACGTTGAATTGGCACTTAAATTTAAGGCAATTTAAATTTTTCAGGCAAGCTCTGGAATATTTATGGATAAGAAGGATGAATTGTCAAATTTTCTCCAGTGCAAGATGCATTTTATATTACACTGCTCTGAAAGTGGTTGGGCTGATAGTTTTGGTTTGTATTATTATTTGCTCCATTCTTTTTTTGGTCAATTAACAAATTCAACAACTTATAACAGCAAAAAAGTCTTAACATGACAAGTCAAAACTAGTAATCATCATTGTCCTTTAATTAGATTTTTTTCATTGTTCATGTGACATGAATATATTTTTTTGTATTCATATTCAAACGCTATTTTTGAAAAGTACATAGCATCTATAAAGTATTTTTTCTCCACACTACACTGTTTTAAAGGACTTTCCACGTAAAGATGACTTAGTCCAGGAAGAAACAGCTGTTTGCCGTCTGCTTAGTCAAATATAATTTCGTTACGTACTGTAATGAACGTTAACCGGACACCAGCTGATTATACAATGAGTGGTGCAATGAGTGGTTAGTACAAGAATGAGTCATTGCGATTGCATTATTCAGTGACAATGAAATAAACGAAAACATAACCTCTTTTAGACGTTATGAGTAGTGATTGTTAATTCCATTATTCGGTGGTAATTTATTTTATATTTGTACAGTAGTTTTATTGTTAGGTGAGTAGTATGACAAAAAATAGCGTACGTCAAAAATGTGTGTATTTAATTAAACCAACCATACTTGTCCGGTAAACACTTACTTTCCGGACTAGTAACGTAATATACTATAACACAAAGTACATGCAGCATGTAAAATTCATCCTTCAGAATTTAACTTATATCAAATTGGGTTGCTGAATTCGTTTAAAATTTTATTGAATTTAAACTTCTAAAAAATTATAGTCATATTAAATTTGTTCTTATTTCTAAAGTAAAGTTTAAGCGTAAGTCAAAATGTATTAAATGGATGTGTCTCTGTTAAAAAAAGGTTATGTATAAACAAAAAGAAGAGTGATTTGATCAAGACTTACAGATTACAGATTAATCAAGTTATACGGATTATTTAATAAAAATACATATTTAGTTTATTATGTGGCTTCATTCATTCTCTAAACAGCAACCTACACTAAAAATAACATGATTCGTGGGTTAATGGCTTGAATTAACAAAAATAGTGTAAATAAATGTCTTAAGTTTAAGTTTTGAAGTTTTAGAGGGTTGACAAACAGTAAGAGCCCAATGTTTTGAACAATAATAACATTTTTTCTTTTCAGTTTGACTGCATAAGCTATATCATAAGTGACACAATACATTTACTGGACCCTGGTAAGTTTACTATACTTGTTTTACCCGTGCTTCGCAATGGGATGATACTAGTGAGTTTAAATATTAATTTGTTCATGATATAAATTTAGACAATTGTAACATAATTATCCTCTATTGCTTTGAAAAACCAATTATACCGCTTCATCATACAATACTCTTACATGGCAACCTACAGAGCAATGTCCGCTGAGCAAGAACATTATATGAACAGTTAAAGATTTAATACTTTGTGAAAAGAGTTAATTGTTTTATAATTGTTACTATATTATGTAATTCAATTAAGTAAGTATTTTCCAAGTAAACACTCATGGCCTAAAAGAATTGCCAGATAGCTGGATAGTCAACAACCGATTATTAGAGGTACTGGCTTTATTTCTTAACTTATCCTATCACCAGATTGCCGCTTTTTTGGTGCTATGTAATGTTTTGGCCAACATTGGGCAGGTTATATGTAACGCATTCTTCTACATATGGTAAAGTAGGGTGCTAGTTTGTGGATAGGAGAAAAAAAAACTTTAAACCCAGTCTTGTGTTTAATTTGTAATACACGTACTATTTATTGTCTGCAAATTAGATGGAGCTTCATCTGACGACCGGAACACTGTTTAATTCCATTCTTTGCAACTGCCGAAATATATCGACGACAGTGCAGAGTTTTTGATCTCTATAAACAGTTGTATGTCTATAATATTGTGAGAAATGTTGTGAATGCACGATCATCATCCATTTAGAGTATAACTTGAAATAAGAGGGGTTTCCCCCGTGTTGTGAATTTGTTAATCCAATAAAGTGTAACAAGGAGAATGAACATTAAGGGAGGGAATATACATTGGTATGAATGTATGTATTAAAAGATTATATATTTTTCAGGTCTAAGACTATATTTCTGCCATGAAATGGAAATACTTGTCACCTCACTTCGTTTACTGGCGTTTCTCACTATTCTCAGGACAGTGTGGAATGTATGTAGTAGTGTGATACTTAGTCTAAATCGATATTAGAACAAAATTATGAGTCGAGTGTAACGAAGCTTTTTACGTTTCTTAGTGAATATATTTTTTGTAACATACAACCAAAATGCCATTTAGTTCAAGGGTTGGTTTGGAAAAAACATTGTGTTTAAAATGCGGCATTACGTCGTGGATAAGTTATCTAAAAGAGATTTCGTCTTTTGCTGTAAGATAAGTGAATGTTTCCTCCATTTATTCCTTTAAAACATTAACCTGTGCAACTGAGAAATAGTCAATTTGGCATATGATTATATAACATAAGATATGAGTGCATTAAAACATAACAACGCGTCGATTCGTGGTCTTCTGGTGACAGCCATGTAAAAATCAACAAATTCCATTTTTTACAGGTGAAGAACATTTGTTTGTTAATTTGATACGGTCTTCACCAACAGGCTACGATGTTGTTTAATTATTGACCTTGGAAACCTATCGAAAAAAAGCAAAACACCAATTAATATCAAAGGTGCAGAATTTTGCATTAAATGTTGTAACAAATCTGTAACTTAATATTCTGTTTTTGTTTTAATAAATAGAGAGGTATTGTATGTACAAACTGTGTAGGTAAGTAACTATAAACGACAATTATATCTGTCAAAATAGTTTTAATTAATCAATCAATCTAAAACTGATTTATAACAATTTCTGTCACCCATATTTCGTCCCTTGGTATTATTCTATCAATCAAAATTCGGAGACTTATTGAGTTAATATCAAAAAATCTTGTTTTATAGATTTTTAACATAACATATCTTTAAATTAAAATACATTCGAAACTTCCAATGTGAAATGCAAATTATCATTCAGTTAGGAAAATCTTCCATTCGACTCATAGATATTATGCAGGAAAGCTATCTTAAGATATGAGCTTTCGCCTCTTCCGTTTAGGTAAAAGAATAGAGGGAGAAAGTTAGCTTTTGTATTTAGGTGACATCAAGTAATATCATTTCAATATCACCATTTTACAAAATTTTACATAATAATTTTCAATGGCCATTACATCTGGAATTATCATTTTACAACACAGCAATGCCTCTAATATAGCTTACCATGATCCAACACCTAAATTTCTTTTTCGGTTAATTCCTCAAAATAAACTATAACAAGCTAATATTTAGATTGAGACAGCTGAATTGTTTCGAAACCATTACAAATGTTCTGTAACCTACGAGTATATATATATTTTAAATATATATATTTTACCAACATGATTTTGTACTATAAATTTTGTTGTTTTATTTTAAATGCTATGCATCTTTGATTTTAGGTTCGCAAACATGAGTTTTACAAAATCTTCAACATATTCAGCCCAGTCCTACCAGCTCCACAGTTTTGGATTCTTTGTTGGATAATGGGATTCATCATCGGAAGTATTTTGGAGCACTGTGTTCTTGTACTTGCACCAAAGTATTCCTGCAATGTCAGAAAATGTAGGTTGCTTTCTTTTTTATACGTCACATCTACATTAGCTGTAACCTTGTGAATAGCAACCAGCCGTCTTTTATGGTATATATGACACGTTGACGAGCTTATCATACTAAAAATGTTTTGATGGACAGTATTCTATGTCGTCTAAGAGAAAATTTTCTGAACCTCAAGTGAGAATACGTCAGGATAAAAAAGAACATTATTTGAGGTTTTAATTATTGATAGTAAACTTCTACTTGGTCAGAATAATTCATCTAAAGCCTTACTTTTGACGCATTGTCAAGTGACAACCGACAAGGTTGGCTCCGGGCAAAACCAAAGGATTTACAATAAGGTTTCTTCTGATGGCTTACTAATCTGCCTGTCGGAAACGTTTTAATTTATATTTTAATATATTGATATATTAATTGTTCGGTTAATAATTGAGGTGATTAGTAATTAATTGAGGTGATTAATATATTGATAATTAATATATTGATATATTAATTGATATTTTACATGTCGAGTAAAATACAACTGTAATACAAGTTTTTTTAACGTATGTGTTTGTTGTTAAAAGAAAGATTATAGAGTAGCTTGTATTATTTTTTATAAGTGTTTATGTGTATTTCTTCTTGTAAATATTTCCGTTAAGCACTACGAATTCCTATGGTCATTGTTAGAGCATTAACAAAATTTTAAATTCTAGATGTTTCAAATGTTACGTGTGATTTCTAGTTATTTGACAGTGCACGTAAACAAAACAAAATTTAGCAATGTAGGTCGTTGTTTTTTAGGGGAAAAAATATTCGATACATTTGTACAGTAATACACACTGTATAAATTTGGTTATGTATTTATCAACAGATGTATTAACCTTTTGTTTTATAACAGTTTTAAAATATCTCAAATGAAAACTTTGGAAAGTGTAGGTGTGTTTATTACTTATACGTTGTTTATGAGTGGTCTTCCTGTTTTAGTGTGGGACATTATTTGCTGCTGTGCAACATACTATTATTCAAGAAGGTAAGATTTCGAAATTTTGGGAATTTAATATATATTTGATATTTCTAAAAGGGAAAATTCACAACTTATCGTATAGTTAATGTTGTATATGTTGCTTAAACCTTAATTGATATTTATATAGTAAGGAAAATAATCTTAAAATATCAGTTAAGAATTTTTATGATATTGTTTTACATTATTATTCTCTGTACCATTTTAATAATCTTGGCTAACGGTTTTTTGTTTGTTTTTAGGTACAAGAACTGCCTGCATGACGTACCTTATCAACAGTTGTTAGTAAAAGTAGATCGGTAAATATTCAGGAAATAATATAAACCACATGTTTTTAATAAAAAATGAAAATTAATCATACATGATCATATTGTCATTTTTACAGTAAATTCCACCCAAATCGTATGTTTTGAATTTTACGTGCAATATCTCGCAGATAAAAATAGAAATGGTGGCCTTAGCGTGGGACGAAAACGATTCAACTAGTTTTTATAAAAATGTTAAGAGTAAAATTAATAGTAATTCAATATGTTACACGTTGTAAGTGTAACGAAATTTAAATTTTGTATTTGTATAAGATTTCACATAAGAGAATTCGAGAGAATATGTTTGGTTCATTTATTGTGTCATAATAATTCATAATTTTAACTTCTAGACTCGTTAAATGTTATTTTTTATCTATTTCCTATTTTAGGTCAAAATTTCAGGATAAAACTTTAATCTCAAGATTATGATACTATAAGTGTAAAAGTCCGTAGTGTTTTCATGACTTTGGGACTACTAAAATATGAAGTTTGTCATAAGTGTAGGCCGTCAGTTAAGTGTTTTTATCATCTGAGTGGCTACGAAAACCCGCAAAGTTAAGTTTCCCGTGCTTCCATTAGCTAAAAGGGAAAATTCACAACTTATCGTATAGTTAATGTGGTATATGTTGCTTAAACCTTAACAGAGGAATGAACTCTCATCTTTAACAAACACGGTTTTTCAAGTTATTTTAAGTTTATATTTGTTTTTGAACTATTATTTAGTCCTTTATAAAAACAGGCATATATAAATGCTAATAATATTGTAAAGTTGTATAAAAAATATCGTGCTACAATTTTAGAACGGAAGTTACACAAATTTGAATTAATTTCATTTCGTTATTGGTATATTATGGGTATTCATTTTAGATATTTGTACTGTTCGGTTCCCATTTGCATGGTTCTTGTAATATTTATTTAGTTTTTAATCGCGAAAAAATTTTTACATAGTATATACACTTTTGAAACATTTCTTCTAAACCTTTGGCTAATGTTTATACGGTTACGTGTTAAAACTGAAATATCCGTATATAACTAAAAAATATAACAGGATATTAAGCCATTTGCTGAAAGTTACGAGAAGATCTTAGAGTTATATATATCAGGACACTTTACAAAGCATATTATTTTTAACTTCACAGAAGTTGAAGATAATTTGCATGCAGCTGGGTATCTGGGTATTCACCTATTTATATAGTTTAAACTACGCCCTGCCTAAATATTTATGATGGTTTATTAAATTAAAGCTCATGGATAGAAGTTTAATATTTCCATCATTATTTCGAGTTATGGAAAAAGCATACGTAACGTAACGTTATAAGCAATGTAAAAACATATTTATTTTGTAAAACCAAAAAATTAATTACTCTAACAAACATATAAACGAAAAAATAGAGTTTCAAATTATAAAGTTCATTTTTATTAAAGGTTATAATGAAACGTCTAAAGTCTTTAGGGTGAGCAAAATAAAGCCCAAGGGAGGGATTGTACAGTCCAATTGGGATATAATCGTTTTGCGATATCAGCTGTGGTACGAACGTATTGTGAGTCTGTCCTCTGATTTCCGTTTTCATTGTCCTAAAATGTTTCATAACTGATAGTGAATACCGCATCATGCTGTTTATATCGAACTTAGTTGAAGATAAAACTGATAGAATTAGTTGTGAGTAGATGTGACAATTGGTGAAGTATCATTTTGTAAAAACCTCATGGATTTGGGTAGGTGTCGTATTTTATTTAACATTATTTATGTTTTTACATAATCACCTAATAAACTGTTCACAAATTATTAATGTCTAGTTTAAATTGACCTTACAAATAAGCGAAATTATAATTATGATAGTCTTATATCCGTGGTGTTTAACCGTATGGATAGCTTGACATTTATAACTGTAAGAGATTTACTCAAGATTAATTGCACTTAATTGCATTATGTTTACCTACGGGCGTTTGGAAAATTGTCTTTTCAATTCAACCTCAACTTACAAAATACTGCGGAATGTCTAAATCAAGTTAATATGCGCTGTTGTTGTTGTTGTTTGGAGCCTACACTGATTTGTAGAGTAATACTATACTAATGTACTAATGTACATTATACATTGTACATGCATAATGTACTATAAGAATTAGTCTGGAACTTATTCATCCATATTTTATAAGCATATGTTTATCCTTACAATCTGTTAATATTAAAGAAAAGAGCATACCCAAAACACCCAAAATCACTGAAAACTAAATAATAATTTAATAATATAGAGAGAAATAATGAATTCGGTAAATTAATGATGTATTGATAAATGTCACTTTGATTCAAATCGTATATATTGTGAAGAACCAACATCGTTCCTAAATTGTATTTATAGAGCTTATATCTGGTCATTTTAAATCTAATAATATGCATTTAATTTTCGTTTAACAAATGAAACAAGAAAATAAGCAAATGTTGGTTTAATAAATTATTAAACTATTATATTATATTATTATAATGTGTGAACTTACTAAAATATACTTCGTAGAATACTTATCACAATATGCATTCTTGAAAAAGTATACCAATTATAAGCTTGGCTCAAGTGAAAGAATACAAATAAATTAGATACGTCAATAGTACGGTACAGGGTTCATCTGAATTATTCGTGTATATAATATTTCTCGAAGCAGAAATGATTAAGTTGTGATTAGTGATGATTAAAACTGTATGACTAAGCAAGTAGGGAAGTAGGTGAAATCATGTGAAGTAGTTTTAGGTTGATGACACATTCATGTACACTTGTTGTATGTATTGAATAAAGATTTATTGATTGATTGATTGATTGTGAAATAATATGTTTTAAAGTTAGGCACAGCTGTTTGTTAGATTATGCCAATCCAATAAGAGCGTCTACGGGAGATTGTGGTGTCATTGGTACAGTATTGGGAAATCTCGAACAGCTGTTTCGTGGTATTCCTGGCTCACACTGTTTATTGACTAATATTTTTTTTTTTCATAACTGCTTAAAACCTATGAACGTGAGATGATTTAAGTCAGTAGAATGTATCTTATAAAGAGTATCTTATTCATTAAAATTTTCTAAAATGTGTACACTCATAAGGTATATTAAATACACACTGGATTTCTAGAACTTTATGAGCACTACTAGTTAAAGTACCAATATTAATCTTCAACAATTAGTCTGGAACTTATTCATCCATATTTTATAAGCATATGTTTATCCTTACAATCTGTTAATATTAAAGAAAAGAGCATATAAAGAAAACTTATACTTTCATAGAATATTTTTCACAATTTTTAATCAACGAGAGCGATTAAAAATTTATCTACAACTGTTTTTTAGAGTAGCCGTTTCAGTTCAGTTCTTAGAATTGAAAAGTTTCGCATAACAGCATTGATTACTTTAATAACAGCATAGTTTTGCTCATAACAACACGGGCAACGGACTATTGAGGTTAGAGGATTGAGAGAGAAGAAGTAAAATTGTAATGGTTTTACAATTCACAGACAGGCTTTTACAGCTGTTCAGGCCAATTTAATTGTTGAGTGGTGCAATTAGTGTTTGGTACAATGTTTCGTTGCATCACTGTCATTGGCAATGAGAGGTTATAAACGAAAACATAACCTCTCTTAGAAGTTATGAGTAGTAAGTGATTTTTAGTAACTAAAACACTGTCGTAGGTAAAGTAGTAACGCAACTCGCATAAATATTGTTAACGACAAGAGTAGAAAATTGAAGGTACGAGCCTTAACAGTTGGTATTTTATAGATAAGTAAATATAAATCACTTATAAATCAACTATGTGTTAATCGTATATTAAATAAATCTTTGTCCGTGTAAAAAGGTTTGCGATGTAAAATAATATGATTCGTTCTGTCATTAGAGTCGTGTGCCTACTGTATTTTGCTTTGTACCCTAACAATATTTAATGTCATTAAAAAATTTTACCTATTAGGCCTAAGTTATATATTTAGAAGTATTTTATAATAATTATTGCTTTACGGCAATACATATTACCTTATACATTAATTAACACTATATTAACGGACATTTAGGACTCATATGCAAGGATATATTTGCAATCTCGTTACAGTATGTTTTAAGCTTAATTGGTTTACCTTAATTAAATCACAGAATGTTATGCAAACTCAGTTCCACAAACTATTACACCCATTATAATTATCTGTGTTTTGCTTGTTCTGCTAAATGCTATGTTATCTCTAGTCTGCTACAATAATTATAATATGTGTAGTAAAACTATACAGCATCTATAGTTAATTGGTTAATGGTAGTTCGTTTAGCTACAAATAATATCTTTTACATTACAGTTCCAATTTAAGGTTTATTTTGTAATGTATGTGTGGTAATTGTTTTTATTACTAACTTAATATTTGTAATATAAATTAGGTTTCAAATGTAATGTTTTATTAGAAGAATTGATAACTTTTGAGTTTTTTTTTTTTTTTTTTTTTTTATAAAGCACCTTTAACAATTGTAATTCGTTATTTAAGTAGTTTTAGAGTAATTATTGTTTTTATTGTAAGTTCATTTTCCTTTGCAAAGCCACTAATTAGCATTCTAACCTACGATTTTTCTTTTAAATCATTTGCAACACAATATATGTTCAAGAATACATAATGACAATGTCAAATGAATGGAGGTGAAAAGCCTTGGTGGTGTTTTGAACAACATTATGCTGTTGAAATTTATTATTAACTATAAATGCAAAGTAATCAAGTAAAGTAACATAAAATAAATTTTTACTTACAAAAACTATCAGTTTCATTTTAGTATTTACAATAACGTCAGGGTGTGGCAATCCTGTCTTGTGGTAAATCGAGGGCCTTCGGTCAATGAGTTACCTAGTTAAAATCCCATCAATTACTAATGACTTTAAGCTATAGGATAATGTCACGAACCTTCCAAAAGTTCAGGAAGGCCTTAAGTACGGGTCGGTACCTAGGATTATAGGCTGCAGGTAAGGAGAAAAGGTTTGAATGGCATGCTTGTTCGCTGTAGGACACCCTGTATATTGTGGTAATGCGACAAACAATGAGAGCTTACAAATCACCACCGCTCCACAAGACTCTGAATATCAAATGAGGCTGCATACAGCTGATTTATGAATGGTTTTCATCAAACAAATATTA